CTCAGGAAACTGTCCTGGATTCGTCTATGCTTATGGTGAGCACCACTACTTCATTCCACAATCTCTAAATATGATGGAATAGATACCTTACCAGTGAAGAGTCACCAAAGTACGGAAGCATAAATTACTGTGGGATAACTTTCAGATAAAGACGTGAAAACAGAAAAGGGCCCCCTTAACATCGGGGCTCTGTGTTTTTTTTTTGTTTGGCTTAAAGAATGTGAAATTTTTGAAGTACAATCTACCACTTTACAGAGATTAGTGCCATAGCTGTCTGCATCAAATTTTTATCAAAAGCTCATGTCGTATAATATATCAAATAATGATTAATGGTTTTTTGTTAAAAGTAGGTTAAAGAACAACTGCGTTACTATGACGCAATACTCTTGCCCTGGTTCAAACTTTGACCACCCTACCCTCATTGAACTTTCGATCTTTGTCCCCTGGAGTACAAAAGCACTTCTCCTCATCGCCGGGATCGCCACTACCTATCCACTACTTCATCCTACTTCTATCTAACTAATACTCCTAATCTGAGGAGCTCCGGCTCCCCAGAGCCTTACCACCTTTGTATGCATTATCTCTTTAACTTACTATGTAGTAATAAATAGAGGACGCGACGTCGTACACACACATACACACACCTACAACCGAGGCACACACTAGCCTAATAAATTAACAGTTAGGATCGCGATACTCAACAAATCTATCGATATAAAGTTTGCAGAACATATTTTTTTTTCACTGTTCCTAAAAAGCACAAAACGAACCCATATCGTCATCTTCGCCGCCCCATGCCCAGTACAAATTCGAATAACCATTTACGGCTCTATAATCATCCATGCTAATTGCCAGAACACCGCCAACTATTTCTTTGTACCATAACCTGTAATAAAAAAAAATCATCAAAACTGCTATTAAATCACAGGCTCTTTTTCCTAACTATGCAGTCGAGAATTTTACTAGTTCCTTGACCAACGGCCCACCGTCTACTGATTAGCGTGCTGATGATCCTGACGTCCTTCCCGCCCCCTGAAAAGATTATTAGCTCAACGATTCCCCGAAAGAAGCCCCCCAAACAAGGCTTTTTTCGTTCTCAAATGTTCTTGGCGTAAGTTAAGTAGTACTATCTTACCGAAAATATTACCACCACTATCGGCAAGTAATAATAAATAGCAATGCGCATCAGACTAGCCGGTGCGATCATGCGTTTTGTGCAGTTCAGCCCATCGAACGATTACCTATTAATGACTTTCACTGCTTTGTACTTTAGTCTATGCAAAAATAGTTCAAACATAGGAAAAGTTAAAAGTTTCACGCACCAGCGCATGAAAGCTGAATTCGAAACCTTGAAGGATGAATATCTTTCCGTGATTCCAAGTTAATAGTTTACCCGCCAAGACTTTCACGAGGCCGTAGGTGGTACCCGAGAGGGCGAAAACGCTGAATTTGAATGGGCAAGGTTGAGCGGGGGCGGGGGTCATTCCCCTAAAATTTCAGCCTCCTAGACTTCGTGGTTCTTGAGATATTAATTTACACGTGAGAAACTTTCATGGGGCTGTACGCGTTACCTGCGGGTACTGGAAAGCTGAATACAATTTGCGGGGTCACACGTCGGTGGGGAACGTTCCCCTAAATTTTCAGCTTCCTAGCTTTTGTGGT